ACATATTTGACGCAAATAGATATAATTAGACATATCAACACCATCAGTCTATAAATAATTTGACAAGGGGAGTGGATTCTGGATATTGTGCTTTGATTCTGTTATCAGTTGAAACATTGCAAGAAATCATTCCTGATCTTTATAAAGTGTAATTTAGAGACAAGAGACTGAATTGACGGACCTCCAGCACTGGATTGGAAGTGTATGTTCCTAGAAAAGGAGCAGGCGACTAGCAAAAATATTAAACATTAAAAAGATGGACCTTGTTATAAATATAGGTAGAAGGGAACATGAAGGCAGGACACATGAAATGAAGATAAAAGAAAGACTGGCCCTACAGCAAAGTTATAGTGACAGATTAAAGAACACTGGCATTAAAATAGTAAGTGTGAATGGCCTACAAAAGCATGTGGAAAAAATAAAGGAAACACCAGAAAAAGTGTCTTGAACTAATACAAAAATATTTTGCTTCATTTATGAAAGAAAGAAAGAAAGAAAGAAAGAAAGAGAGAGAGAGAGAGAGAGAGAGAGAGAGAGAGAGAGAGAGAGAGAGAGAGAGAGAGAAAGAAAGAAAGAAAGAAAGAAAGAAAGAAAGAAAGAAAGAAAGAAAGAAAGAAAGAAAGAAAGAAAGCAGACTAAGTGAAAATGCTATGTAAAAAGAAGAGAGTAAATTTTGATGGACGTTAATGTATTCCATAAGTCTGATGTTTCTCAATGAGCAGCTATAGCTATAGTCTCAAAATTAAAGAAGGTAACCTGGTACACGTTTGAGATTATGTATTTTTTGAAAAAATTCCCCATCTTCAGATTTCCTTCATGTCTGCAGTAAACATAGCGAACCGTAAAAGTTCTGGGTTCTAGAAAAACTTCAGAAATAAATTTCTTTAACTAGGGGCCATTACGTTTGACCCAGTTAAGGACAGAAAAGAAGTCCAAGATTTCTCTCTAGCTGTCATCCAAAGTAACTGCCCCTTTTGGCAGGGTAATTCTGACTTTGACTGATGGGACCTTAGGGGAAATTTGTGGAATCACATTTCATATTTGGCACAAACTTAATTTACAGAAGTGTTTGGCATTCCAAGAATCTGAAAGCTGAGGACCAGAAATTCAGCTGGTGTAGGACAGTATTACACTAATGGCCTTCTCAGGTGTGATCTCTTTATAATTAATAACAAAGGGATTTTTGATTGTTCAAATATATATGGAGCACCATACAAATTGCATCCCTTTTGTTTTCCTCAGAAAACTAGCCTTTTCACCCTAAACTATTTATTACTCAAAATGGTTTGCTAAATGGCAGTCTTGAAAATACAACTTTACATTTTCACCATAAGAGAATGGCCTTGATAGAGATGAGAAACTATCCCTTTTGCAAACTACAATTTGGCATTCAAAAAAGAAATAGAAGTTCTTTCTTCTCATCCAACAGGGTTAGGACTTTGATAACACCATTGCAGCTGCCATCTTCTTCTTCTTTTTTTTATACACATATATACCTCAGCACATGCCCATGGTTGCTAGTTCAAAACCCATCAAAAACTTTATGTGTGTGTGTGTGTATGTATGTATGTGTGTGTGTGTATATGTGTATATATGTATGTATGTATGTATGTATGTATGTATGTATGTATGTATGTATGTATATTCAATAATATACTGTCCTCGAACTCCGGGAGGAATATAAACCAATGGTAACAACACCAGGGAGGAGAAGATGGACAAGGAAGGGAGGGAGAGAAGTTGTGGAATTGGAGTGCAAACAAGGGGAGGCGGGACAATGATGGCAATTACGGTCGGTCAGGACGAATGGCCCTATCACATGGTGAATGAGTAAGAAACTAGGTTAGCAAGGTTTATAAGAGATCTCTCCACCCCCAACACTTTACTCTGAAGACGCTGACAGTGGATCAGTGAAAGCTAAGTTTGTTTTAGTATTGTAAATAGTTGCTTTTATTGTTTTAAATTTTTTAACATAAACAGCTGATTTATATTCCTCCCGTAGTTCGAGGACAGTATATTATTGAACAGATATGCTCGGGATTCGGATTTTTACAGTCATTAAGGATATATATATATATATATACTATTCATTTCTTTCACCTACTTAACTTTTTCTAGCTAGTTAATGCCTTTTTTTAAAAAAAAAAATTAAGTGCAGGGTTTCAGCATTTCAACATTTCTCCTGTCCCCTGTCACCCTGCACTTCTTCAAAGGCCTTAGCTAGCATGAGTAAGCCAAGTGAATGAAGGGAATAGTAATTTAAACAAAATATATTTTGCTGGTTTTGAACTAACAACCTCGGTTAGCCACAGTGCTTTTCAAAATACTAATAGGAAAAGAAAGATCTTAGGAGCTCTTAGACAAAAGAAAGTATTATACTGTCTCAAGTATATTCTCCTCCCTGCAAAAAAGTCAATGAACTGCTAACTTTAGCTTGTAAAGAAGTGATCCAGCTAAAATAGAAGATTTTCATGGTGACCTAGATGGGGGAAGGAGTAGAGCAGGCATGTCAAACTGCCGGCCTGCAGGCCGGATGCATCATACTGAAACCACGCCTACCCCATTGCCAGGAATGGGGAAAAAGTCGTGATATGTCGCACGACATCACATGATGTCGCACATTTGACATGCCTGGAGTAGAGAATTGATAGAAGGGAATATTTGTAGCACAGTGTTAAACTGAGGGACCCTTGGTGCTCTCTGAACTTGGGTGTTTTCTTGCAGATGTTTCATTCATTAACTAGTTGGATAATGAAATGTCTGCAAGAAAACAACCAAGCACAGAGAGCACTAAGGATCCCACAAGTAGAGAATTGTTGTAGGAGCCCCTAAAAATGATCTCCAACATGAGCCTGAAAACTCTGAAGACTAAATCTCTGGTCCCAGTGACCAAACCAGATTGGATCCTGCAGCATTATCCTGGGACATGTATATTTCCCTTCATTCATGAGAATTGTTTCTCTTATATTTGAGTATGTATGAGAGAGACTTGCCACTAGAAATAAGTAAGGCATTTTCTGAATTTCTGGTATGCCAAGCCCAAAAGGTTTGCCATAACTGGGATAGGGCAACAGGCAAGATGGATAAGCCCAGTATTGGCAGTGTTGCCTATTGGACTCCTGTATAATGCACTTTTCATGGGACTGCCCTTGAAGAATATTCTTCTGAGTGTGCTTCTGGGTGCAATTCAAGGTCCTGGATGTCACCATTAAAATCCTTTATGACTTAGGAGTGGGCTACTTACAGGACTGTCTCTCCCCAGTTGTTTCCACCCATCCTATCCAATCTGGCAGGAACTGGATGCTGACAGCTAGGATACTGTCAGCTAGGGAGTGTCAGCTGAGGGGCACTCCAGAGGGACAGCCTTTTCTGTCATGGCACTTGCCCTTTGGGAACATCCTTCCCCCTGAGATTAGATTGGCCCCATCCCTATTGGCCTTGCATAAGGCCTTGAGAACTTGACTTAGTGCACAAGCTGAGGACCTTGGATGCGGGTCACAGCCTGTCTCCTGGTTGTATGGATGACAGATTAGATTGTACCTAGCTGCTATGTGTTTTTATTCTTGGTTTTTTTACAATATGTTTCTTGCATTTTTATTTGTGTTATGAATATTTTGAATGTAAACTTTAAACGAACTCTTTGAGTATATATTCTCAGTCAATTCATTCTTGATTAAGCCACAATGTCTCCAGTATTGCAGCACCACCTGTGATAGTTCATATAAACAAAAGTGAGGAGGAATTTGGTAGCGTCTCTTCAGACTAAATTTAATTGAAATCAGAAGATTTCATGAATTGCAGCTCACTTCATCAGATCCATGGAATGAATAAACTGATGTAAGATTTAAACTGGGATGGGACAGAGTGGGAAGGGAGGAAAAGTTAGGGTGATTATGCAGATTATATGTGAGACATACAGGTAGTCCTCAACTTAGGACAACAATTGAGCCCAAAATTGCTAAGTGAGAAATTTGTTAGGTGAATTTTGCCCCATTTTACATATGTTCTTGCCACATTTGTAAAGTGAATCACTGCAGATTTTAAATTAGTAAAAAGGTTGTTAAGTGAATCTGGTTTCCCCATTGACTTTTCTGGTCAATGCAGGGATCACCGCCGCCGCCTCCTACTTCCCTGTGTGGTTGGGCGATCAAGGGGCTCGGAGTAGCAGGAGCCACCATGTAGACAGGGCCCGCACCAGGTGAGGGCTCCTTTCCAGCCATCCCAGGGCCGTCTCCACCCACGCCAATGGGGCTGCCGTGATGCAGGACAGCCAACAGGCTGTGGCTGCTGATGGACACTGTCGGCCCCCATGCGCTCGCTGGTGTCTTTGTGTGGGAGCCGATGGTGTCAGGCAGAAGCTGCTCTGGCCCCTGCCTTGCCTTGCCCTGCAGCAATTGGCACACCCGCCCTGCCTCACCTCGCCTTACCCCTGCAGGACGAGCCTCTGGCCCACCGCCCCACCCGCCAGAAGCCCCCAACCCTGTCCGGCCCCCACAGGCATCCCCACAAGCATCATCGAGGTGGCCACACCCACCGTGGCCACGCCCACCTAGTCGGCTATGCCCACCCGGCACCCAGCAATAAATAAATGGGTTTTGGGTTGCAGTTTGGGCACTCGGTCTCTAAAATGTTCGCCATCACTGACCTAATTGGATAATTGTCTCATTGTTCTGGATTTTTTAAAAAATGCTTCAGCCTCTTTTGCTTAGGTAAAGTTCTCTGCATATCTTTATCAAAGCCATCTTCTTTACTGTCTGTAGTCTTAAAGCACATTTTTCCCTTCTATGTGGTTGGGAAATTCATTTTTATTAAGAAGGGACATGAAAAAGATGTATCCACAGACTTAATAATAGGAAAATAAATCACAGAAAGTGGTTTTTCCAATTGCTGTAATCTTTATTTTCTATAAATTGAGGCAAAATAAATAGTAATTACAAGGAGTGACAAAGAGCTTCACATTTTGCGCTTCTCTTTCGTCACTTTGCCGTTTTCAGGTGAGTTTATTCTTCGCTTACAACCACCTTCTTATGCACTTCTCTGGTCTTCACCCTGAGTTTGTTCACCTGAGACTCAGCAATGTCAGCCCGTTCCTCAGCTTCTTCCAGCTCATGCTGAATCTTGCGGAACTTGGAAAGGTTCACGTTGGAAATTTCCTCCTAAAAATCATTATTAAAATTAATAATTATTATTTTCCATTTCTTGACAAACATTGACAAAAATTTAGATATTTAGATAGTACAATTGTGTTTTTTTAAAGAGGAAGGAAATGTAGGTATAACCAAAATAGCTCCTCTTTCTATCTCTCTAACAGAATATCTCCTCAGATTTTCTTCGTGTCACATCCAAATAATTTTTACTTCAAATCTACAAGTGAATCTTTTTCTTCTGTTCCTTGCCAAATAGCAGCAGGAAGTTGTTCCCTTGTATCCCATCAGGATGAAAAGCTCATAAAGCTACCAATCCAAAAATGCTATGTAGATATTTTAACCCTCTCCCTCAATAATAGATTATTTTAAAGGTAAGGTAAAAAGCAAGGATTGGAAAACATAGGAGGGTTTAAAATGATGGAAAATATTTTCCCATTTAGATATATTTTTAGAATACCTTTTTTATATGGGAGTTAAATAAACATTCTTAAAAAAATGGTCCTTCAGAATGTATTAATCTTTGTCTAATTATAGTGTTTCTTGGATTTTGTTAGCATTAAAGATATACTGGAATTATAAACTGGATTTTTGCTGCCTATAAGGAGGTAGCTAGTTTATATAAATGCAAAAATTAGAAGACATCCAATGTCCCTTTCAATCATAAAAGGTCTATGATTACTTATTTTTCATTTTTTTAATTGCCAAAAAAAGCAGCGCATACATTGAGAGCCCTTTCTCACATACACACCAGGATTAAGGAGAAGATGCCAAGTTAGGCATTTCCTATAACAGGGGCTTACTACCAATGGCAAAATTTAGACATATTTTGGCTTAATGGAGCAATTTGTAAGCTTGTGAGTGAAAGGTCCATTTTGGAACTGCCCCTGCTGGAACACTTGTGTAAAGCAACACAGTCTGTTTTCTGTGGGGGAGGGGGGGAGGGGGAAACAACATTATTCAAAACTGGGAAGAAAGTAATTGTGTCAAACAGTTTTAGAACTGCTGCCCTAGTAGAGAGATGATGGTAGTCTAAGTTAGCAAACCATTGTCTTAACTGTCAGGAGGCAAGGCCAAGGCAAATGGCCCAAATGGTTCCTGAGAGATAAGATTTCAGATCTTTAGTCTTTATAGGCTAAACTATACTCTCCAAGAATCGTACTAGAAATATACTCCATGAGGGGTCCTTGGTGGTCTCTGAGCTTGCTTGTTTTTTTGCAGATGTTTCATTACCCATACTAGGTAGCATCATCAGTGCTAGTCTAGCACTGATAATGTTATCTAGTTTGGGTAATGAAACGTCTGCAAGAAAGCAAACAAACTCAGAGACCACCAAGGACCAAATATTCTCCTCTATTAATATACTCCATCCTGATCGGGATTAATATCCTTAATATTTAGTGAAAAACATGCATGTTCATATAAAAATTAGAATTTAAAAATAACACACACACACACACATATAATTTCATATAAAATTAGTTATTGATGCAAGTTTCCTTTGCCTTCTACATCCCCTTCTTCAATCAGTGATAATAACCTTCGTTTGTTTCTATGCTTTATGTCCCTCAATTCACTGTGCCATATGAAGATTAATTTGGTTTGTAATAACCAATTCAAAAACTTTAGTCCTTCTTTAGTATTCTCCTTCACAATTCTAGTTCAAGCAACTCCAACTTCAGAAAAATACTTACAGCTTCTTCAGATTGCCTCTTATATGCTTTCACTTTCAGTTGCAATTTGTCCACCAGATCCTGGAGTCTCAGAACATTCTTCCTGTCTTCCTCAGACTGAACAAAGTAGAAAAAAACATAACATGAGAATATAGATGATGATGATGATGATGATGATGATGAAGAAGATAGATAGATAGATAGATAGATAGATAGATAGATAGATAGATAGATAGATAGATAGGTAGGTAGGTAGGTAGGTAGGTAGGTAGGTAGGTAAGTAGAAAGGTAGAAAGGTAGGTAGGTAGGTAGGGAGAGAGAGAGAGAGAGGGAGAGAGAGAGAGAGAGAGAGAGAGAGAGAGAGAGAGAGAGAGAGAGAGAGAGAGATGAATACTGATTATCCTTCAAAGGTAAGTCACCTGGTAAGACAGCTCCTTCACTCGTCTCTCATATTTACGAACACCTTTGATGGCATCAGCACTACGCTTCTGCTCATTCTCAACTTCAGCTTCCAATTCACGCACCTGGAATACAATAAACATTTAGCCCTTCCATCAATAAGCTTTATTATAGGGTTAGAAATGCATGAAGGTGCATACAAGGAATACTTACTCTGTGCTCCAATTTTTGGAGCTGCTTCTTGCCACCCTTCATTGCCAGCTGTTCTGCCTCATCAAGACGGTGCTGCAGATCCTTCACACTCTGCTCTAGATTTTTCTTCATCCTCTCCAAGTGGGCACTGGTGTCTTGTTCCTTCTTCAGTTCTTCTGCCATCATAGCTGCCTGTTTACAGAGAAATAACTACCATTCAGAAGCCCATTCAGGCCAATTTTAAGCAGTTTTAAAAGAAAAACATTCCAACTCACATCTGTGATGGCTTTCTTGGCCTTGTCTTCTGCATTGCGTGCCTCCTGAATAGATTCCTCCATTTCAGATTGGAATTGTGAAATATCTGTTTCCAGCTTCTTCTTGGTATTGATCAAACTGGTATTCTGTTTGAAGGGGAAAAACAGACTTTTTGTAAACCAACAAGGCCGATTTTATCATTTGGATTCTATTCTTTTGTAAAAAAAATATTGCTGAACATATTTACAGTTATTAAAAATACACTACACAAACTATGCTATTATGATGAGACTAGCCTGCTTTATTGTCTCCTCCCTGTAATCAAGTTGCAGAAGAACCTGACGTGGCAGAACAGTGCCTCCACTGATTCTGCTGTGGGTAGAACCAACTACGCTCAGTCTGGCAGGGCTGAGATTTATTATATAAATATTAAGAACTGGTGCCAAATTTGCCTAATTTCTTGTTTTATTTTCACCGATTATCTTCTTTAGTTATTCTTTTTAAAATGCAAGCTTTGATGCGGAGATGCTTTTCGCTCTTTACTACTACACTGTGTTTTTCAATTAAAGAGCAACATGGAAAAGTTTCAGATAAATAGCAAATGTATATATGAAGCTCTCATGGGAATCTACATCACATCATTCTTTTTTTTAAAAGCATAAACCTCTGCTAGTTCATATCTAGTTTGCATGATTGCCTTCTTACATTAATAAATTCATCAATGTTATGATTGCTTACTTACCTGGGTATGGAGGAGCTGCACACGTTCACTGGCATCCAGAAGCTCCTGTTCAGCCACTTTTCTGGCCCTCTCTGTCTGTTCCAGAGCTGCCCGGAGCTCCTCAATCTCAGCCTGCATCAGGTTTGCTCTGCGCTCAATCATGGCCACTTGCTCCTTCAGATCATCCTGGCTTCTCAAAGCATCATCCAAATGTATTTGAGTATCCTAAAACAGGATATGGCAATATTTGTCTTGGGAAATGTTAGCAATACAAGAAAAAAAATGCAACTTTTTCTTGAATATCATGCTGGAGGTGCTTGATGGACTAATAGTTGATTCCCCACTCCCCACTCCATGCATCCCGCTCCATGCCTCCCCATCTTTTAATTAAAATTACAATTTGTATTTCCATTAGAAATAGTTATTTTTGTGGTCTTATTGTTTTTAATGTGGTAAGTCACCCAGAGTGGCCCTTTGGTGAGATCGATGGCAAACAAATGTAATAAATAAATACATAAAACATAGAAGTAATTATGTACCTTGAGCTGTCCTTGTGTGTTCCTGAGGTTCTTTTGTGCTTCAGCAGCTTGACGGTTGGCATGGCTCAGTTGAATCTCCATTTCATTCAGATCTCCCTCCATCTTCTTCTTAAGCCGCAGGGCATCATTCCTGCTCCTAATCTCAGCGTCCAGCGTGCTCTGCATGGACTCTACCACTCTCAGGTGATTCCTCTTCAGCTGATCAATTTCTTCATCCTTCTCTGCAATTCTTCTGTCGATGTCAGATTTCACCTGGTTGAGCTCAAGTTGGATGCGCAGGAGTTTGCCCTCTTCGTGTTCCAGTGAGGCCTTAAAGCATAAAAGATAAATTTATATAGTCATACAATAGGAACTTCCAAAAGTTCATGTTCCCTGGAGAAAAATGGATTCAGACGGTTGTTTTTGCATGATCCTGAACAGAATTAAGATTCATCCAATTAATCTATTTTCAGAAAATTTAAAAAAAAATTAAAAATGAAATTTTTATTCTTAGAAAAAAAATAACAATGAGCATATGGATGCATGCTACTAAATACTGTGATAACAGACCAATTACTGTCTGCTTGTCATGATGTTTCCAGATTGGGAGTCAGTATCATACTGCATAGATTTTTTGGGAAGCCAAGAAGTGCAAAGGACTTTCATGATCTGATTAGACTTCCTGCTGGTCAACAAACTAGTAGGGCAAATGGGCTTTTGTGCTGATCTGGTAAGTGTCCAGTTATTTTCTTACAGTCTTTTAAGTAGCCTGTTTAATTATTTAAAATGTTTGTTGCTTTTCTGTGAATGATGACATGATTACCTCAGCCTCTTCTAAGGAAGCCTGGAGTTCACCCTTCTCCTGTTCAATCTGCTTCTTCACTTTTTCCAGTTCATGGATGGCCTTTCCTCCCTCAGCAACCTGTTCCGTTAGGTCAGATATCTCCTCTGTTAATTTCACACAAGAGAAAAAAAAATAAGAAATTATGGACAGAGTTGGCAATTTTCATGAATCATCCTTGCTCTTCAGTTTATGGGGTAAATATAATTAATATTTGAATTGTTCAGCATTGTTGGATCATTGGCATAAAGCAAAGTTTATATTTGCTTTCTTATAACAACTAATTATCAAAAGAGTTTTATAAGTTAAACAAGACAAAAACAATGACTCTGCATTTTGCCACATCAACCAAGAGCATACATAATAATAATATATGTTCATGCTTATTCCAGTCTTGGGTTAAAGGACAGTATGAAGACGTTTCAACCATATGGGACATGTTTATTTCAATATTGTAAAACATCAGCTAATTGCTGTTGCTATGGTCTTTTTTACTACTTTAGAGAAGAAAAACACTTGAAGGGATTTTCTGCATTCGGTGCTAAAATAATATGACCATCCATGGTCACCTCAAATGAGGTACATTATTTGCCTCAAACAACACAATAACTCAGAGGCAGTTCTGCATCATCTGATTTCTTTTCTTAGCTCTCCCAGTTAATAGATTCATAGTTCTATCCATGACTAGAAGAAAAACAGCTTACGCTGGAGATTCTTATTCTCGCGCCTCAGAGTTTCCAGGTGATCCAAGGATTCTTCATATGCGTTCTTCATCTTGAAGAGCTCTGTGCTCAGAGACCGAGATTCCTTCTGGGAAGCTTCCAGTTCAGACTGTGTCTCCTCGTATTTTTGTTTCCAGTCTGCCAGAATCTAAAAAACAAAAACAGCAAGAAATAAGTTAACTAAATTTAAAGCTTGTGTGCAGTGCATTCCACTTTTAAAACAACAGTAATGATAATAGCAGCTCAAATTACCTTATCAAAGTTCTTCTGTTTCTTATCTAGAGCTGCACAAGCTGCATTGGACCTTTCCACATCAATCATCAGGTCCTCCACTTCATTCTGCAACCTCTGCTTGGTCTTCTCCAGGGAAGCACATTTGGAATTCACAGCTTCTACATGTTCCTCAGCGTCCTGCAGACGCTGAGCAAGTTTTTTCCTGATAGAATTTAATTATAGACAATATTTAGGGAGGCCTGGGATCATAATATCTCAACACACTGGTGTAAGAGCCTTCTTTCATGTTATCATGTGCAATAATACCATTTGTACCCATCACTCTGACAGAAGCACAAAACCTGACCTCAGTACTTACATACAGACCCATTTTATAATCAAATGTATATATAGACAAATTCCCCTCACATCTACAAGATGTATTTTGATGTTTTAATGTTTACATATTAATGATGTCATTAATTTCTGTTTCACAGACACATTTGTGCCACACACAAACACACTTTCACTTACTTGGCTTCTTCTAACTCTTCTGTGCGCTGAATAGCATCTGTTTCATATTTGGTCCTCCATTGAGCAACTTCACTATTGGCTTTAGACAATGACCGTTGAAGCTCAGCCTTGGCTTCTTGCTCCTCTTCAAACTGCTCCCGGAGCAAATCACAGTCATGGCGAGCTGACTGCAAGCCATGTGCCAGGGCATTTTTGGCCTGAGATAAAAAAAATTAATAACAGTGATTTTCAGAATTCTGTTTTTACCTTCTCTGCGCTTTACATTTACTATGTGTCTGATTTTTTTTTAATCTATTTACTTAATATGTCTGAAATATATTTACATTGTCTAGTTTACTTTATTGACAAAATTGCTGAAGAGGAAATGTCAATTTAAAATATAAAACAAATATATTAAATTCTCATGGGTCATAGTTCATTCCATATCTGAACTTATCTAATACCCAACTTACAGAGCTGTTCTATCTCTCCATCTCTCCATCTCTCCATCTATCTATCTATCTATCTATCTATCTATCTATCTATCTATCTATCTATCTATCTATCTATCTATCTATCTATCTATCTATCTATCTATCTATCTATCTATCATCTACTTGGCCACCCATCTCAAATTCATGATGCTGGATGTCTAACAACAGTTTAAAATGTAAAAAAACATAATTATAAAATCAAGGCACACATTATTCACAACAGTGCTGCAGTACCAAAAGATTGGGCTAAGATTTATGCAATACATAGACAAATTTCACACCTTCACTTCTTCCTCAAGCTGCCTCTTCAGTTCCTCAATCTGCTGTGTGAAGGCTTGTTTGCCTCTTGTAAGTTGAGAAATCAATGCATCTTTTTCCTCTACTTGGCGGGACAGTTCACCTAATAAAAGACATTTGATTATAGTTAGTTTTATAATAGTCACAAAAGCAAGAATAACTAATATTATAAATTATCTTGAAATTAGTAGATTTATTTTCAATTTCAAGCAGGTATAGAAACAAGAGGGGAACTAGTTTGGTGTGGTGATTAAAGACAACTAGGCTAGAAATTGGATAATTGTGAGTTCTAGTTCTGCCTTAGGCATGAACCCAGCTGGGTGATTTTCAGCCACACTCTCAGTCCTGGAAAGAAAAGGTAAAATGAGGCCAAGAAAATTTCTCTAGGCGGAAGGAAAGAAGGAAGGGAGGGAGGGAGGGAGGGAAGGAAGGAAGGAAGGAAGGAAGGAAGGAAGGAATCAGGAGGATTCAAGTACTATAAATGAAATAATGTTTATAATGGGAAAATGTTACAGAATAACACAATTTGTTCTTCTGTATTACCTGTTTCTGTCTGCAAACGTGCTCTTTGAGCATTGAGGTCATTAATTGTGCGCACATGTTCTTCCTCCTTTGATTTAAGCTCACTGAGCTGGTCTTCTAATGTACGACTTATCTTCTCAAGATTTGCCTAAATGTAAAATGTCAAAAAAAAAAAAAAAAAGGAAAGTAGCCTTTCATATATTGAGCACACAGTTCCCAGCAGAGACTTTTAATGTTTCTTTAAAGATAAAATGTTTATCTGTATAAAATAGGCTGCCCCCCCCCATGTACTTTGGCTTCCTCGGATGCTAGCAGTATTACACTAGAATCAAAAAGGAAAGGGGAAGATGGAGGAAATGTATTCATCTTATAATTCACAATAGTACTAAAATAGTTCTTTCTGTTTTAGAATATCTCTAGATAACCTTTTGTCTTTTAGAATTTTAACAGTATACAAAGAGTATAGTGCCAGAATTTGCTTCAGAAAGATGATTAATTACAAAGCAGTTTTTAAAAATCAAGTGCCAAGCTCTTAACAATCAATAGATAGTGAGAGATGTATAAAATTGAGATGTGTAAATTTTATACACAATGGCTTAAAAATTATCCAGATAAGCATATCGTCTGTTGTAACACACACAAATATGAATTGTATGTAAAATGTTTATGGGTATCTTTTAAAATTATTTTAGAATCTGGAGATTCAATGTACGTGTTAATTGCTTATTTATGGCACCTTATTTTTTATATATGCAAATGCTTACATATGCATAAGAATTATTGAAAACTGTTTTGCCCACATTTTTAAATCAAATGATTTGAATTGTATCCTGACTGCGCCTAACAGAGACATTGTCTACACTTCTATAGGATACCTTAGCTTTAGAGACAGATTCCATATTGCTTGCAAGATCATCAATCTCCATCTTCAGTTCACTCTTTTCTTTCTCCAGCTTCTGCTTCACTCGCTGCAGATTATCAATTTGTTCCCCAAGTTCAGCTGCACTGTCTGCGTGCTTCTTGCGGAGGGCAGCTGCCGTGGCTTCATGCTGCAATGTGGCCTCTTCAAGGTCCCGACGCATTTTCTGAAATTCTGCCTCACGTTTCTTGTTCATCTCAATCTGAGCTGAAGTTGCTCCACCAGCTTCTTCCAGACGCTCACTGATCTCTTCAAGTTCCCTGGAGAGATCACCCCTCTGTTTCTCTGCTTTGGCGCGAGATGCCCGTTCTGCCTCAATCTCCTCTTCCAGTTCCTCAATACGAGCCTAGAAAAAGAGAGGCAACCATGAACCCTGAAACTGGCACCCAGAGAGCTTAATTCTCCATTCATGAAGATTATATGACAGACCTGCAGCTCCTTGATCTTCTTCTGAAGCTGGGCGCCCAGGGCCTGCTCATCTTCAATCCTGCTCTGGAGTTGACTGACTTCAAAGTCTTTCCTTTTTATAACAAAATATAATAGTTAGCCTCAAAATCAGAAAACTCCATTTAGCACAAAAGTCCATCAAAATAGGCATTACTACTTACTTCTTCAGCTTTTCATCCAGCTGCTGCTTATCATTTTCCAAATCCATTGTAGATTCCTGAGCTAGCTTCAAATCCCCTTCTAGCTTCCTCTTAGCTCTTTCAAGGTCCATGCGAAGCTTCTTTTCTTGCTCCAGAGACCCTTCAAGCTGAACACAAAGAGACCAGAGTGATTGTCCCATCAAAGCAGTACCTCCACCTCAGCCCAATTCTTCTCCGGAGATGATAGGGTACTTACGTCATCCACCTGCTGCTCCAGCTTGGTCTTTGCTTTGGTCAGAGTGTTCACTTTGTCCTCCTCTGCCTGCAGATCATCCAAGGTCTGTTGATGGGCCTCTTGCAGGGCTTTCTTCTCCTTGGTCAGTTTGGCAATGTTCTCGTCCAAGACCGCCATCTCTTCGGTAAGGTTTTTCACCTTTAGAAGTTGAACAGACAGGGTTAAGATGCTCTATGTATTGTGAAATGGCAACAGTAGGTAGCGATTTAATTTTGATATATTTTTGGCCAGTACCTTGTTTTCTGTAGCATGCTTCTCCTTTTCCACCTTGGCCAGTGTCAGCTCAAGATCATCAATGTCTTTCTTCAGTTCTGAGCATTCGTCCTCCAGTTTCCTCTTCTTGGCTGTCAACTCAGCATTCATTTCTTCTTCATCTTCAGCCCGCTCAGTCAGCTCCTTAATTTTAGCTTCCAGCTGGATTTTGGTTTTGATGAGCTGATCACATCTCTCCTCAGCATCCGCCAAGCCATCAGACTCCTATGTAAGGAAAGTATAGGTTATTTTAAAAAAATGATTCCTAATTAAAATATTCACATATATACAAAATTCCCTACTCTAATTGAGCAAGTCACATTTTACTAAAAAAATATGCACAGGGATCAACTCTCTTTATATTAATTGGAACAATAATCAAAGGTAAATTGTTCTTGTACAGTATGTTGGGCAAGTCAATATGATGCAGAAAATATATTCAGTATTTATTGATTTGTGATGCTGCCCATCTGTAACTGTCTCTTTAATGAATATTAATAGTTTGTTAGTTAAATATAAAAGCAAAAATAGTTTACCTATTACAATACAGTTCTTACATATCTTTATGTGTTAGGCCAGGGGTGTCAAACTCAATTTCATTGAGGGCCGCATCAGCATTGTGGTTGCCCTCAGGGGGCCGGGTGGGTATGGCCAGGGTGGGTGTGGCCTACTGGATGGGCGTGGATGGAGTGAGTGTGGCCTACTGGGTGGGTGTGGCCAGCTCTACATCGTTCGCGTCAAGGGTGCCTGTGGGGGCCTGGGCAGGAGTGGGATAGATCTGAGGGTCTCTGGGGGTGGGACCAGGGCAAGTGCCAAGGGGGTGGGACCAGGGCAAGTGCCAAGGCATGGTCCACTGGAGGAGCCTCACTGTTCCTCTCAGGCCATGCGGCGGGGGCTTATGGAGCTAAGACTGAATGTGTTTCAGCATAGAGGGCCACCACAAAATTGTACATTGGCTCCCAGCTGGCCTGGGCCAGGGCCAAGGCAGTGGGGGCCGTTCCCTCACTGTTTCCAGGATGGCTTTGCGGGCCACATGAAACCACTTTGCGGGCCACATCCGGCCCCCGAGCCTTGTGTTTGACATGTCTGTGTTAAGCCATTTACTTCTTAATTACAACACTGTGTAACAGTATTGCAGACATAGAATAAGTAAATATGAATTTGAATGCAGATAGCAATATGAGGAAATCTCTTAATAATCCCAACCAAAAACTGCAATGAAGTTTCATCTGCAAGCTTTGAAGTACTGCTTGCTAAACTATATTGGACTGTTTAATCAAACAACAATATTTAAAATCTAACATGCTTACAGCTTGGACTTGAAGTTGCAAGTCATTTTTCTCCTGCGTTAGGGACACCATTTTTTCCTCTAGTTCCTTCACTTTGGCCTCTGCCTTGGCAAGGTTTTCCTTTGCTTGTTCAAACTCTTCCTTCATGTTGGCCATTTCCTTCTCTGACTCCGCGCTCTTCAGCAGGGGCTTGATCTTGAAGTACAATTTCATCCAAGGCCAGTGCTTCACATTCATGAATGAACGAACATTGTACTGAATAGTAAAGATGGATTCTCTGGAAGGAGGGCAAAATAAAACTGATAAAGTTTAGAAGAAATTTGGTATATACATATATAATATAAAATCAAGCTCTCTGCTTAATCACCAATCTAATCAGTTGCAAGATTTGAAAATATTTTAAAATCTGATGACTGTGGACCAATATGTTGTACAATATATCTAATTAATGCAAGATAAAGCATTAGTTGGATATATTGTACAATATATTGGGCAACTGTCATTTCATCAGATTTTAAATAATGCCAAATTTATTTCTCTTGGAGTAAATACAAAAATAAAGACTTAAAAATGGGATAGGCACAAATAAATCTTACATTCAACACTTGGATTTGCCCAAATAGAATTCTGCTTTCTTGACAAAAATACTACATTGCATTTATATAATTTTTCACTAATGTAAGTTAAAGAATATAAGATGTAAGAAATAGAGATTAATGCTACTTCACAAATCTTTTCAAGTGCATTTTTAGAAAAAGGTCTACACAGATAAATATGAGGTAAATATATACTGCTCACAAAAAGAAAGGGAACGCAAACCCCTTCAGTTCCATGGTAAAATGTTCCCTTTATTTTTTTGAGCAATATATTTTTTGAATGCATAATTTCTGCCATGTTGTACAATGAACTGTCCTGAGGACTTGAGATTTTTCATGGCTACTTACATCATGCATACATGACTTCTCAAATCTATTATTGCTAAATGTTCCTAAATGTTCTATACTATATATTATAGTCTGCTGTGCATGCTACAGTGGTTTTCCAACCATCAGTATGGTCCATAGTTCATAAGTTGTCTCTTTGGGTATTGAAGGTGATCCCTATATGTGTCTCTTTATGTATGTCTCATTTTATTTGTAATAGCAAAACTTTACCTTCGTTCCATCATTTTCTTGAACTCAAACCTTGCTAAGAATCCACGACACATAGCTTGGGTACGTGTAATCAGTTGTGCCAGCTTATCATCTCTCATCTCCTCTAGAAGACCCAGAAGCCCAGCTTTGAAGAACACCTCGGGTGTGGAAGAGAAAGTATAATAAATAAATAAATAAATAATTGTCCCCATAATCAATGTTGTCTTTCTGAGTCAAACAGTCACCTTACCTTGGTGTGGCCAAATTTATACTGGGTATGATCGACATCAATTGATCCAAGAAGTTTCTCAGAAGCCTTCTTGCTATCTATGAATTGTCCCTCTGGGATGGCACTTGCATTCAGAACTTTGTATCTATTAAAGAAAGCAGAGATTACAGTTGCCTAACATTGAAAACCATGATATTAAGAAGACCCATAGGGATGAAACTCATTTTCATAAACATCCAAAGAAAAATTTATCAACATTCAGACTACCTCCTGCTCTCCACCCTATATAGAAACATACAGTCTGATTCTCTAATGTGAACCCGTAATGTCTATGGGGAAGACCAAAACTTGTATACAACACTGAAGTATGTACAAAAGAGCATGAGTGTTGCATTTTGATACATTTTTATTAACTTGCCAATTTTGCACACATACACACACCTAGCCCCTCAGGTGACATTGTTGATAACCTAGCAACTCTGAATAATGGTATCTATTACTAGGAAAGTTTAGGTCATACTCAAAAATTCTACTAAGCATCCTGCTTTCAATTCTGATGACAGCAGAACTGTTTACTGTTTCTTCCTGGGTTTTCAGTTTAGAGGACTAGAAATTTGTGTTTAGTAAAGAGAAAGTGTACACATATTTGCCGTTTAATAAAGTCTTTCCAATCAGCATGAGAACAAACTCTCAGACCTACCAGCTATGACTACTTCCTTAAAGCAAAGAGATTGGCCAATATGATTGACTTTTCTAGAGATTTATCAGTGTCAACTTGTCATCATGCTTCTAAATACTTTGTTAGCACAAAATAATACATACTGTACAGATATGTTGAATTATTCAAGTCTGTACAAATAAACATCTGAAACTCCTGAACCAAATGTGTAATTCTTCATCATATCCCCAATTCTATTCTATATAATGATGAGTTATGAATGGAAGTAATAAGATTTTGATGTTTTCTCCCTTAAATTCTTAATATAAATTATATGATTTTATTTAATAAACAATATGCAGTACTCCTGACAACTATATGGACCTGTCCCTGAAGCTTTCTTGGCAACATTTTCTCAAATAGTTTGCCATTGCCTTTTTAGGAATGAGAATTATTGGCCCAAATTCACCCAACTGGCTTCCATGCCCAAGGTAGGATCAGAAAACCTAGGTCTCTCTGCTCCTCCCTAGACCGTATGGCACTATTTATATTCAATAATTCAAGTCACTAAAATGTAAATTGCTCTAAGATGGAGACATTAAAACAGCTAGAAACCAAACAAGTCGGTAGCTAGAAACCAGTCTGACCTCTGTTTGAAATCAGCATAAATAATCCTGCTGGGAAAGCCTTTCCTGCAAATTCGGATACCTTCAAGTACACCATTACATCTCAGTTGGTGCAATACAAGCTCATGTTCCATGGCACCTTAGAAAAACCACGGGGAAAAAAAGATGTTGCTATGCATACAAAACGTAGATTACATTTTTCTTTTTAAAATCAAACACAGTTCTATATCTTACCGGGAGTTTTAGTTTCATTGGGGATGAGGCAGCGCACAAAATGTGGATGAGTGCTCCTCAGATTGGTCATCAGCTTGTTTAAGTTTTCCTGTAGGATTTGAAGGCAAAATTTACTTTTTTTAAAAAAGCAACTTTATATGTTAAGAAAAAAACTAAAGAGCAAACTCCACATTTTGCCATAGGTAGCCAGAAAAAAATTTTTACTGTGAACTTTCCCCACATTCTCACAAACCACCATTGTCATAATTTAACACTTTTGCTCTATTCTGTGTCAGATGACATTTATGTTGTAGTATATTGATTGACTTTTTTAGGACAGTGCATGTTCTTTACCTTTTGAGAGCATGGGTGATATTTTAATTAAATGCTGTTATGATTAAGAACTGTTTAATAACAGGGCTTAAAAGAAAAAGAGCTGAGCTGTGCACTGGATTCAGTCTCTATAATCTTTACTGTGATGTATTCTCTTAAGGACCATTGGTGGGACTTCTATTGTTCTAGAATACTATAGCCTAATATTCAACTGTTCTTATCTTGCTTTTCTTCCTCTGAGGGGGCTAAATATGTTTATTGGTCTATCAGTTTATGGATATTGAAAGCTGCTTTATGCAAAGTTAATTTATGTAGAAAAGTCAACTGGCAAAAGCTTTGCAGTTGGACTCTTGTCCTATGTTCAACTTTGGTGGACTCTTCCATCTTCTCCCTTGGAAAACCACTGTCAATCAAGAATCAGACAATGGCTCTCCCATCTTCAATTCTGCAATTGCCAAAAATGTGTTTTGTGTGTGTGTGACAGTAAAGCATGTATTCTATCACAGAGGTACATCTTTCCTTTTATTCTAGATATCCCCCCCCCCCTCAGATATCCTCAGTTTATACAGAGAGGCACATCGTTCCTGCAAGGAATAAAGGATAAGACATCTGAGTTCAATACCCTGAAAAGGGCAGACACAGTCTGGAAGGAAGAGCCCTTCTTCTTGGCAGCCTTCTTGCCCTCTGGAAAAAAAAAAAAGAAAAGGTGGGGGGACCACAATTAGACAGTTATCTGGGGCTTAATAATTTATCCTACAGCACAGTAACTAACAATAGGTATATCACATTGTTGTGTTACAGTTTGTTGAACAAGACATACAAGGGCAATTTGGAAATAAACCTCCATTTGGTTATCAATAACAGACACTCACAGATATAGAACTTTTATTATACACATTAGAAAACTACAACATTACTTTACTTTTCGACATAATCACCATTCAAATTGAGGCACTTATCATAACATCTTATAAGGTTTGAAATTCCTTAGTAGTAGTTGCTCAGTGCCAAATCTGGGCTATGGGAGGGGTGATCAAAAACATCACAACGGAACTGCTTCAAAAGTTCTTGGGTGCATCTAGCAGTGTGCTAGACGCACCCAACACCCACACCGGAAGTGGTGCCATAGAAAGTCCCGCCAAATGTGAAGATGCCAAAGGAGTACTGCTAGTGAAGTTTATGGAGTGTGATTCGACCATCAGTTCAGACGTGTACTGTGAAACGTTACGAAAACTCAGACAAGCCATCCATAACAAGCGTCAGGGCATGCTGACTTCCGGTGTGGTGTTGGTTCACGATAATGCTTGCCTGCACACTGCTAGACACACCTAAGAACTTTTGAAGCAGTTCCATTGGGATGTTTTTGATCAACCACCCCCCCAGAGCCCAGATTTGGCGCCAAGCGACTACTACTAAGGAATTTCAAAACTTGTAAGACGTTATGACAAGTGCCTCAATCTGAATGGTGATTAGGTCAAAAAGTAATGTAATGTTGTAGCTTTCTAATGTATAATAAAAGTTCTGTATCTGCAAGTGATTTTTGGTCAGTGTGGGTCACTTGGCTAGTCTTGGTCTGTCATCCTAATCAATCTCATAGGGTTGTCATGAGGATAAAACTCTCAGAGAAAAGGTGAAACGTAAGTACTTTAGCTAATATTAATGTTAGAATTATTTATAGAACATGGGGCAAGGATGTGCCAAGGGTCTTTAGGAAAAGCTAAAAAACTATAAAGCATTACTGTACATATATATGTAATGTTACTTGTTAAGCAAGTATTAGGAAATATCTGTTTTAAACATGTTAAGGCAGTCTGCACCTTTTGGAGCTGATGGGCACATTTAAAATATCGAGAATGTGGTCATTTGCAAAATGGCTGTTGAGGGTTTGCCCATTCACAAAATGGTTGCCATTTGGGACATCATCATTTACAAAACAGCAATTTATTTTAATGGTGTCTTTTGGACATCAAGTGCAAATTATCTGATTTTCCCATTTTTAGGTTTACGGAAATGAGTTCCTATGCTGAGGGTTCCCTAACCTGTAAAAAAAAATATCATCTAGGGATAGCACTGAACTATTCCTTCCATGGGCAGTTGTTTTGACTCTGATGTTTATGAATCTGTTTCAAATGTTAAGAATTACCTTCCGCTGGACGGTCAGCAAACAGTAAGGCCAAGGTCTTCATGGAAGACTTCTGAAACAGACCCACCACGGTTTCATTCAGGGGGTCCTTGTTCTTGTCTAGCCAGCCGCTAATGTTGTAATCAACAGTGCCAGCATAGTGCACAAGGGAGAAATGAGCTTCAGCTTTCCCTTTGGCAGGCTTGGGTTTCTGGAAATTGTTGCTCTTGCCAAGGTGCTGGTCATAGAGCTTGTTCTTGAAAGATGTGTCTGTTGCCTTGGGGAACATGCACTCTTCTTCCAGGATGGAGAAAATGCCCATGGGCTGTAAAACAAAGTGAAAGAGAGTTGGCCACTACATGGACTAACTAAGTTATTATGTACTACTTCAAATAATGTCATAGTTAGTCATTTTCAGCCAAAAACAATGGCTTTCTTGTGATAGTCTATGAAGCAATATCATTAACAGCACAACAAGCATTTAAAATATCTTGAGTAGGGAAACATTGTTACAAATATAGCTGCACCATAAAAGATATATCCAAACTGTAGCTTTAACTAGGGGTACAGCTCACTTATGCCAAGGCAGTTAAGAATCATTAGTTGAAATTACTGCAAAATTAAATATAACTTTTGATCAAAACCTTCTCAATGAGTTCAATGCAGGCAGCCAAGTCCATTCCAAAATCAATGAACTCCCATTCAATTCCTTCTTTCTTGTACTCTTCTTGCTCCAGGACAAACATATGATGGTTGAAAAACTGTTGCAGTTTCTCATTGGTGAAGTTGATGCAGAGCTGCTCCAAGCTGTTGTACTTAGGAGAGAGAAAAAGGAAGAATTTGTTTCAAAATCACATAATGTATTGGATAATGTTGGTGTCCAAATATTTAATTGTAAAGTATTTTTCATCTGTTTGTCTAGATAATACCAGTATAAAAAATTCTGAGTTATAACAAAAATTGTTCTAAGTTTCTGCATTAAACCCATCACCCATAAATCCTGAAGGATAATTGTAGATACTATAAACAGAATGATACTAAATTTTGACTAAATAAAATTGCTATAGGTTTATTTTCTCTTTTGCATATAGAACTGCTAATTAAATTACTTTCTTTCTTGGTCATGTACATTGCAGAGCTTCCCCAAACTGGCTAACTGTTCAATTCTGAATATAGGTGTATATATACAAAATGAAGCAGGGCAGAGGCTGATAGAATTTTGTCAAGAGAATACGATGGTCATAGCAAACACTCTTTTCCAACAACTCAAGAGACGGCTCTACACATGGACATCACCAGATGGTCAACACAGAAATCAGATTGACTATGTGCTCTGCAGCCAAAGATGGAGAAGCTCTATACAGTCAGTAAAAACAAGACCAGGAGCTGACTGTGGCTCAGATCATAAGCTTCTCGTTGCAAAATTTAGGCTTAAATTGAAGAAAGTAGGGAAAAACACTAGGCCACTCAGGTATGAACTAAATCATATCCCTGATGAATATACAGTAGAGGTGACAAATAGATTTAAGGAATTAGATCTGATAGACAGAGTGCCTGAAGAACTATGGGCAGAGGTTCGTAACATTGTACAAGAGGTAGCAATTAAGAAGAGGTGGCAAAATTACACAGAATAATTATACAAGAATGAGCTTAATGTCCCTGATAACCACGATGGGGTGGTCACTGACCTCGAGCCAGACATCCTAGAATATGAAGTGAAATGGGCCTTAGGAAAGCTGAGCAACAACAAAGCTAGTGGAGGTGACAGTATTTCAGCTGAGCTATTCAAAATCTTAAAAGACGATGCAGTAAAAGTGCTACACTCAATTTGCCAGCAAATTTGGAAAACTCAACAGTGGCCACAGGATTGGGAAAGGTCAGTTTACATTCCAATTCCAAAGAAAGGCAATGCCAAAGAATGTTCAAACTATCACACCATTGCACTCATTTCACATGCAAGTAAAGTTATGCTTAAAATCCTACAAGCTAGACTCCAGCAGTATGTGGATTGAGAACTTCCAGAAGTACAGGAAGGATTTTGAAGAGGCAGAGGAACTAGAGATCAAATTCCCAACATACGCTGGATCATGGAGAAAGCTAGGGAGTTCCAGAAAAGCATCTACTTCTGCTTCATTGACTATGCTAAAGCCTTTGATTGTGTGGATCACAACAAATTGTGGCAAGTTCTTAAAGAGATGGGAGTACCAGACCATCTTATTTGTCTCCTGAGAAACCTATATGCAGGTCAAGAAGCAACAGTAAGAACTGGACACGGAACCACTGATTGGTTCAAAATTGAGAAAGGAATCCGGCAAGGCTGTATACTGTCACCCTGCCTATTTAACTTATATGCAGAGCACATCATGAAAAAGGCAGGGCTAGATGAATCAAAAGTTGGAATTAAGATTGCCGGGAGAAATATCAACAACCTAAGGTATGGAGATGATACCACTCTAATGGCAGAAAGTGAAGAGGAACTAAAGAGCCTCTTGATGCGGGTGAAGAAGGAGAATGCAAAAGTTGGCTTGAAACTCAACATTAAGAAAACCAAGATCATGGCATCCGGCCCTCTCAATTCCTGGCAAATAGATGGCCAAGAAATGGAGGTCGTGACAGATTTTATCTTCCTGGGCTGAGCGCAAAAGAATTGAGGCCTTTGAACTATGGTGCTGGAGAAGACTCCTGCGAGTCCCCTGGACTGCAAGGCATTCAAACCGGTCAGTCCTAGAGGAGATCAATCCTGATTGCTCTTTAGAAGGCCAATCCTGAAGTTGAAACTCAAGTACTTTGGCCACCTAATGAGAAGGAAGGACTCACTGGAGAAGAGCCTAATGCTGGGAAAGATTGAGGGCAATAGAAGAAGGGGACGACAGAGAATGAGGTGGCTGGATGGAGTCACTGAAGCAGTAGGCATGAGCTTAAATGGACTCCAGAAGATGGTAGAGGACAGGAAAGCCTGGAGGAACATTGTCCATGGGGTCGCGATGGGTTGGACACGACTTCGCAACTAACAATAATAACAACAATATTATTATATGTGTATGCATATTGACACATTCTTTTCAGAAGTCTGTTGCAATGTTCTTTCAGTTGAAAATTACAAATAAAAAAATCTAGCCTATGTTATGACATTTAATAATAATAATAGAGTTGGAAGGGACCTTGGAGGTCTTCTAGTCCAACCCCCCTGCTCAGGCAGGAAACCCTATACTATTTCAGACAAATCGTTGTCCAATCTCTTCTTAAAAACTTCCAGAGTTGGAACATTCACATTTCTGGAGGCAAGTTGTTCCACTGATTAATTGTTCCAACTTTCAGGAAATTTCTCCTTAGTTCTAGGTTGCTTCTCTCCTTGATTAGTTTCCATCCATTCCTTGTCTTGCCTTCAGTGATTTGGAGAGTAGCTTGACTCCCTCTTCTCTGTGGCAGCCCCTGAGATATTGGAATACTGATATCATGTCACCCCTAGCCCTTCTCAGAACAAACGTAGTAGAACAAAACTGAAATAGGAAAACTGGATAACAAAAACCATCTGCTTGGTCCCAAGGTTTCATTTCCTTACATCAAAGATCTCAAAGCCAGCAATGTCCAGCACACCGATGAAATATTGCCTGGGTTGTTTGGTATCCAATTGTTGGTTGATGCGGACGACCATCCACAAGAACATCTTCTCAAATACAGCTTTAGCCAGAGCACCAACATTATTGTAGACCTAGAAGAACAGACAAATTGGTGACCTATAAAAGAATGTAATTTAATATTGAAGCTTTCCCTTTAATTTTAGAAATACTTACCTGCTGGACAGTTTGGCCTTTGGTGACATATTCATTGCCAACCTTGACCCGGGGATAGCACAGAGCTTTTAGAAGATCCGCTGAGTTGAGATTCATGAGGTAGGAAGCCTTATCAGCAACTTAGCACAGTCAAGAAAGGAAGATATGATGAGTGTGCATTAGAAACACTGTAATTTCCAACTCTTCTGGAAGACCAAAACAGATTCTAATTTTGACAAGTATGCCACCCAGAATTTTTTTAACCAACTTCTAATTAGCATTTTAACAATTGAATTTTTTGGGGGGGGGGGAATCCTAAAGCAGATGTGTACAGTTTTTCAGTCAGCTTTATATGGAGTGGAGATGACCACACTCCCAAAGTTTGCAGGAGGTATATCTAGCAAATAGCAAAATAGCAATTTAAAATACATTTACATTTTCCTATGTGTTTGCTTCTAAAGCTAAACTTTTAAAAAGCACCGTTTCTTTGTCTTGTAAGGAAAATACTTATAATAAAATGCAATATCCTAGCAGTTCTGTAAACGATATGTTGTACTGCATGCTCCATATCATATTCTGGGTCTTAGCATATCATGTTTGTCATTCCATAGTTAAATACCTTCAGTGCCATCTGGCTCAGCCTGTTCCTCTCTCTGCTTCTGCTTGAATTTCATATTCCCATAGTGCATAACAGCTCCGGTCAGCTTGTAAATGGCTGTTTTTTCCTCAGCTGTGAAGCCCAGGATGTCAATGGCACTCTGGCAAAGGAAATCTATAGTCAGTATGCTGCCTGATATGCTGGATGCTGCCTGATATGCTCAACCCTATTTGGAGTTGGAAAACTGAATACATTCTAGTAATTAGTGGCCTGTCATTTTTTTTTAACTGTCCTTGAAATACTGCATCTAGATATAAGATCCTTCTGGAAAAGGAGATAGCAAATCCTGTATGTTCCCATAACATGCCCACAGGGCCTCATCAAGAATGTTTTTGAGCAGCACTAAACTATAATGTATCGTTATAAAAAGAGAACAATCTGAAAGGGGGAATATCAAAACATTTTTTGTAGCAGTGGCAGCAATATGTTTTGTTTAAAAGAAAGATGGAAGAAGGGAATTTCCTTCCCCTATTGCTATTCCCTGAAGCACTCTGACTGAAACACCAAAGTTGTTTCTACTGGGACATTTAAAAATATTTTCATCCCTAACATAATTTGGCCAAAAAAATAATATACCAAAAATGGATATGTAATCAAGTTAATATTTCATACCCTCAATTTTGCAAATGACTTACATCAGTTGCCATCAACTCTTCTTGATCATCAATGCTGGCAACAGTGATCTCACCCTGGCTCACAAAATGGAAGTCATATGGGTTGGTAGTAATCAGAAGCATCTCTGCATAAAAAGAAGCACAAACATGATTTCATTTTCAACCTTTGGCACACTTGCAATGTTTAATAGTTGAAATAGTCCTCCAAATGGATGATTCTCTTTACCGATCAGTTCTGGCCTCTTGTTGGACATGATCTGATAAAAGATATGGTAGCTCCTTTCAGCCTTGAGCTGGAAGGTAACTCTGGACTTCTCCAGCAGATCTGACGAAGCAATGAAGTTGAATTAGTTAAGGAAGAAAGGAAACGGTCAAATAAACACACAAAGAAAAATCCCTTACATGTCTCAATGTCTGCAGAAGCCAGTTTGCCAGTGGCACCAAAATGGATTCTGATGAATTTGCCCTTTAAAGAAGAGAAGGCATAATATTAAAAAAATTGGGAGACATAATTTTCATCTGCTTTAGAGATTAACTTGCAAACAGAGACGGCATTCAGTTTTTCACAAGTGAAAGTACTTGGCTCTATTTTGCACAAGACTTACAAAGCGTGAAGAGTTGTCATTCCTCACAGTCTTGGCATTTCCAAACGCCTCCAGCAAGGGATTGGCACTGATGATTTGATCTTCAAGGGTGCCCTTCAGTGAAAATATCATGATTAATTTCAATTTGTTTCATCACAGAAAATATCTAGGTATGCACTTTTCATTTTTTACAAAAAAAAACCCCACATACATGCATTTTGCCTTGTTGGGCTGATTCTTCCTTTTTCTTTTCACCAGAAGTTGCAATGGTTGCAAAGTACTGGATGACACGTTTCGTGTTCACAGTTTTTCCAGCACCAGATTCTCCGCTGTTAATTCAAAGAAGACTTCCATTAATGTGTTAGCAATCATTTCATTGTGATTCCAACTCCAGCTAACTAAGAAAATAGGGATAGGGGATAACCTCATCTGCCCTCAAGCCTGGAAAATCAGAAAGGCATTGTAAGCCTGACTGAACTATAGGAAATTGCAGCTTTCATTCCAATATCTGCCTACCAACAAAATTTATATTGACTCTGGCTCTGCAAGATATAGTAAAAATTCAAAGTTTAAGTCTGCCTGCCACGGAGATGAGTTAATTCTTCTCTGTAACTCTCTCATCTGCCCCATGCTGTAGTTTTGATGGGTTTTTTCCCCAAATCTAGTTGCATCATAAAGTGTGGAGGCTGATTGGATGAATCTCAGTTTCAAATCTTATGGTAGAATGGAGATGAGGATTCAGTCCTTCATTTGTGCATGTATATATGCGTAAAAGATTGTATGACAGTTCATGCAAACTTATGTTGTTATACCCACTCCTGGTTCTAGCTAAAATAATTTCCCCATCCTTGTTGTAAATACTTCTCTGTTCTACCAATTTAACTACAATCATCTCCACTGCAGTTTAGAGAAAAATCCTAGGAACTGCCAATTGTTGTTGAGGAATCATTATTGTTACGGCATTCAAACTGACCAGTGATACACAGGAGTCCTGCAGTTTCTTTTGGAACAATTGTCCTAATTTTATTTCAGAGAAGTCAACAGAACAAAAGTGGACCAGTTTAGAAGCCTTACTTACGTGATCAAAATGGATTGATTCTCGCGATCTGAAAAGATTTTTTGAAAAGTTACTTGTAACTTTTTACAATTATATGGTATGTTAGAAAAAAAAAACCTACATCATTCTAAATATAAATGAGCAGAACATCCGCTATATCATGGGTGTCAAACTTGCTGTGTCATGTGATGTGTCATGACGTGTCACAACTTTTTTTGCATTGCCAGAGCTGCGGTGGATGCAACCAGCCCACGGGCCGGCAGTTTGACACCCCTGCACTACATTATTCCTTAAAGGAAAAATGTGTTTGGTACTCATTGTTTTTGGTACTGATCATGCCTCCCAGCCCATGGGCCTGCAGTTTGACACCCCTGTTCTATGTGCATACAAACACACATATACGCATATATGTATATGTATGTGTGTGTGTGTGTGTCATAAATCCTAAATAAGTAGCATTCATCTATTTGTTTTTCACTAATAACCATTTTTATTTGCAGAACAATGTAATTGTTTTAAGACACCTTGACCAATAGAATTAATTCAGTATTTCACTGTCATTTAAAGGAGAAAGATTCTAAGGAGGCATGTCTTTCTTTCTTTCTTTCTTTTTCTTTCTCTTTCTTTCTTTCTTTCTTTCTTTCTTTCTTTCTTTCTTTCTTTCTTTCTTTCTTTCTTTCTTTCTTTCTTTCTTTCTTTCTTTCTTTCTTTCTTTCTTTCTTTGTCCTACTTAAAAGATTTGGAAACAATTATGCAAAGGGGCTCTGAACTCAATCTCTTTTACTCCATCAGCATGTTAATTGATTTGGTGTGGTAAGAGAAGTCAACAGAAGAAACATCTTCTTTGAAAAAAGGGCAGATCAGGCTGTGGTTATGGAGAAAAAAAAATCCTCAAAACATGCTTCAGTGAATCTGTATGGGCAAGCCGTTGGGCAACAGCTCAAGAACTTGGTCACTTCTCCCTTCCTTTTCCAAGATTCAGAGCAGAGCTATTCTTATAATCACATTCTAATTACATTCAATCACTGCTCATGAGGGGAATTTTTTAAAATCCCCGATGTATGAAGCCTTTGCCATTCAATGTATGGTTTGCATTTATTGCTTTGTGTATAAAGCTGTTTAGATGCATTGTGTAATGTTTTCAATGTCATTTAGATGTCTTATAAATATCATTCTGTTTCTTTGAATATGGCAATATTATATTTTATTGCCTATAGATAGTCCTCAACTTATGACAAGTTGCTTAGCGACCATTCAAGGTCACCATACAGCCCTCCAAAGGTACTTACAACCTCCTGTGGTCACCTGACTGCATTTCAGGAGCTCGGCAACCGGCCCTCATTTTATGGGCCTTTGCAGCATACCTCAGTCATGTGAGCACAATTTACAACATTTTTACTGAAAACAGCATTTATTTCCAATTTTCAGGAAAAATGCCCCGTAGCAAACAGTGGATTTGCTTTACAAACATGATATCCCTTTAATGATTAAGATGTTTGCTTAATGACTCCATATTTGCTTAATGACTGCTGCAAAAATGGTTGTAAAAGCAGGTCTGGTCACATATGACCCACTTTATGAGCATCATGACCTACAACCATAATAGGCCTTATAGTTGATTTGATTGCTGTTATTTGCTATTTGATTTTTGTCTGTAGTATTTATTTTATCATCTATTTGTGAAATTTTTCATCATTGATCATAATAAATATCTATTCTTAAGGTTGCCAAGCTCCTGAAATTCTTAAGTGTCTGAAAGGAATTCCAGAAGCCATGTTCTTCCTGTTTTTCCCATCTTTTTTTTTTTTTCAGAAACATTCATCTACTCACCAGTTAACATGGACTGATACGCATTGTCAGAAATGGAGAAGATGTGGGGAGGAGCCTCTTGACGCTTTTTCCCCCTGTATGCATTAACCACCTCTGGGTTGTACACTGGCAACCACTTGTAGGGATTAACAGTGACGCAGAAGAGACCTGAATAAGTCTGCAAAAAGTACAACACAAATATCACAATTTATTTTCTTTAAACCCTAAGGAAATTAATCATATATGAAATAGTTATATAGAAGGGGGAAAGGGTGGAAAGGGAAAATAAGTAAAGAAATAATAAAAATGATAAATATTTACTGTGTAGCATGAAAGGGGTAGTATCATATGTTCCATACTTTCTAAAGGTTTCTTTTAAAAAAGTATGCACACAGCACATTCTGTTGTGCAGAAACTGCTATATCAAGCCATAGAAGTGCAGAGGTCATGGACATTATTTATGTACATAATATACCCCACCTTTTATCTATATGAATATTTTGCACAGAAATATGTGATCACCAAACTGATTTATAGATTATTTTCACAATGCAAATGAGGGGCACTTCAACAGGCTTTTTGTTGGCCAGTGCTATCAAAACTGGACACTGTATTTTATGAACCTTACTTTGATCAGTTTATTCTTCTCTTAATACATGATGGTTATTCTAAATGTGTTCATTTCTAGACACCATGTAAAAACATGAAGTAATCAGTTGACTCTATTATCATTAAAATCTCTGTTGTGTATTTGTTTAGATTTTGCAGGATCCTTACTGGTCTTAAGAGATTACCCATGCATTATTTGAGTCTACAGTATTGCACTGGCAGAAAGCAGCAAACAGAAACCATGGCTGCACTCACGTAGATCATCCAGGCTGCATAACGCTCTTTGAGGTTATACAGGACAGCAGGTTCATTGAGGTGGGTCATCATGGCCATGTCCTCAATTTTGTCATATTTGGGAGGGTTCATAGGAAAGACTTGGTCATCCTTAACAGTCACACTCTAGAAAAGAAAAGAAGCCGGTAAGTTGACATTGTCTAATAAAGGCTAACTTTTGACAAAAAGTTTCTTGACCTTTACTCACTTCTCCTTTTTCAGTCTTGACTGTGGCTTTCCCTCCTTCTCTGCTTTGTACAATGCCTTTCACATAGGATTCCTTAGGATTCACCACATAAACGGCGGTCTTGGCATCAAAGGGCTTATTCTGGGATTCAATTCTCTCCTTTTCTGACTTCCGGAGAAAAGAGGCAGCTGGCCCGAAAACTGCCATTTCAGCGTCTGACGACATGGCTGCAGTTTACAGGGCACACCGCAGCAGAGAAAACTACATGGAGGAAAGATGGCCTATCAGGTTATAGGTACAATGAAAGCTTTTCTGAAAGGCTAAATTACTATTTTTTGTTTGTTTTGCAACCTTCCACCTTGTGGACTGAGCAACTGCTTATGACTACAAGACCCTTCTAGATAGCCTTCCTTTGATGGAAACAACATCCCCTGCAAGAAAACCAGTGTTTTGTAGAAGAAGAAAAATTGACCCAAGAAGTAGAAGACATGCCATTTCAGCTCAGTGAGGAACTTGTAGACATTAATAAATCAGCATGTGGTCTGAGTCCTTCCACTGTCATCATTATTATCTTCAACTTTTTACTCATGGTGTCCAAAAGAAGAAATTAAAAAATATAAACTATGGATGAATAGACAAATGGACAGGTGTAGGAGCTCAGACTAGATATAGTCTGAGGGAGGGGGGAGGGCGAAGGGGGAGAGGGAGGGCAGAGGAGAAAGAGAATGGGAGGAGGGAGAGCTGAACATCTATCCTCTGAAAGAAAAAATAATTCAGCATACAGCAGAACAGCATCCTATTTCTATATTGTAATCTGTAATCAATTACTTTGGTTAAGTATAGGAATCAAAGCAGGACTCTGCTGAGAACTCAGCACATATTTTACAAAAAAATAAAAATAAAAGAGTGAAGCAGAAAAGAAAGTGGAGCATATATGTGGATAAAAAATGTGATTTATGTATACAGAACAACTATAAAATATTATCATACATGTAAAACATGTAATTACTTTTTTATAATGTATATTATAATTATTACTTATTCCAACAGGGGAATGAGTTTTCTAATGAAGGTACTGTGAATTGTTTTATCAGCAACAGAAACTACTTCTATCTCCTGCCTCCAGGCTGTCTTTCTTTTGAAGTAGGCATATATGCCATTATATTTTTATTCTACTGTTTTGAAAAAGAAAAGTTCATGAGCATTTTATGTCTATGAAATTAAATACTGTCCATTTTATCCTTGGCATTAGAAATATTCCAGTCTCTTATCAGAAATTTGAAAGTGACAGTACAGAAGCCTGCTTTGTGATGCATCCTGCTGGATCTGAAAGTAAAGCATCTCCCAAAAGATTGTAACTAAGAAACCATGATCTTCATGGCCAGCAAAATGAAACATCTTTATTAGGGGATCACAGAGATCCAGCCCAAGATTTGTGCCTTGCTGATAAGTTCTGAAATAAAATCCAGTGTTCCATCGTCTTGTAGTTTTTACATTTCAATTTTTTAAATTATGAATTTCTGAATGGATTTGAGGATTCATTTATATTTAATGCTTATATATATATATATTACTTTTAAAATGTTTTGCTTACGTTCTTTTAATTCTTCCTAGGCTCTTGTGGCGAGATGGGTGGCAAACAATTTTAATAAATAAATAAAAATAAATAAAATCTCCATTTTTTAATTGTTCATATTTACCATGTGTTAGATGTTACACATTGATTACATTTTCAAATGCAGTTTTATCTATATTATGGGAATCATTAAATTATCCATATGATGAGAATTATAATACTATCTGTACAGTATTATGGGAACTAGTACTGTTATGCCTTACCTCACCTTCTGCAAGAAGTTACATGCAGCCTTGAGGCTGGCCAGAACTACCCAAACAATTAAAAAAAAATGAAGATGATGATGATGATTCTCTTTGTAATCCAAGATTTCCAAAGTTCCAAGAATATGTTGATATAAAGAATGGAAAATGTACAGACACATTCAAGAACAGGTTTGAATCTGCCCAGAGAAGTTAGTTCCAGAGGTGGCAAGATGGTCCTGGGATGTGTAGAATCCCAGGCCTACTTAGGATCCTTCCCTCCAACCCTAAGTTCATTCTTCACATGACTTACCTTGAAGCTGTAGGCAAAGCTCAGGCAGATCAAAGATAAGGCAGGTCCCAGAAACTCTTTTATAATATCCGCTTGGTCCTAGCACCTCCTCTGCCGCAGGTCAAATATTTCTGGCCAAGTATTGTTTTGGCAAAGTTGACTGCAAACATAATTCTTACTCATATTATCCCTGGATATATTTAGAGTTGAGCCACTGCATTCCTGCAAGTGCCTGTATCATTTCTAAATATATTTGATGGAAGTCATTAACTTGTAACATTTTCAACAAAAGCATCTTAACATAAAACTGCTACTGGTCACCCCACCCCTACTGAAAATCAGTTTTAAAAAGTGATTTAAATGACTTTTGTAACATTTAAACAGCTTCAGTAATATTTAAGTGACTTTTTTTCCTGAAACCATTTTCATCGATACCTTTGCAGGAGGGAAAGGACAACTGGCTTCTGTGCTACTGCCAGAAGAACATAAATACTATAATTGTCAAATATTTTATTCCAGTCTGATTGTGATATGTCCAAAACTTACTGTAGAATAAATCATTTTTGTTGGAATAGGAAAACCTGTCTACTATTTTCAGACAACGTATGATAAATAGTCATGATGACGAGTAAGGAATAGGAGACTTTGGGCTCTTGGCATACCTTCTATGATTACCAAGACAGTATTCGCACACCCTTTGGACCATGCTTAGAATTTGAGATATAAAGAGCATGTGTCCTGTAAGAGCGTGCAAGAGAAGAGGTCGGGAAGAGATTCTTGTGCCTTGCAATAGCAAGCCAAAGGTTATTGAGAAAGAGATATGATGATGATGGAAAAATAAAAGAGTCTAAGGAGCTTGAGGCTCTCCTAGGAGTCAATGTGGTTTGCCAAGTCCTGAGTGGCAAACTCAAACTTCCCTTCCTTGGGAGCAATTTTGGGGAAGCTCTGCATCAGGCTAATTTATTTCCTCTTCTCCTTCCAGGATCTATGCCATTCCTTTTGCAAGTTCTCCCCGCCTTTACCTAGGCATTGCTTGTTCGCTCTCCCTCAGTGTTGTGATGTTACTGTAGGAATGGGGGCTACTTGCACTATTCCTTCCTTTTCATTTGTTTAGGTGATGGAATGTAGTAAAGAGGCAGATTCCCAGGAGGGAGGGGGCACATTCCAGAGGAGTAAAAGGCAACTCAGTCCAAATGTTAGAGAAAGAGGATGAAGACAGCCCCTCCCTAATAATTCCTGGAGTATATGGTAGAATATATGATAGATGTAGATAGTAGAGTGTCAGTTTGGCAAGATTTTGTCTACTGCTCTGAAATAATAAAAGAACTCTACTTGGAAAAATCTCCATGTGTTGTTTTTGATTTGGGGCCTGGAAGTGTAGTGTGTTAAGTGCTGCTTCTATTGTTTCTCTAAGACAGTGGTTCCCAACCTTTTCTATACCCCGCACCCCTAGAACGTTTCTGATATATTCTCGCAACCCCTTACAAAACTTCAAAATAACAGCAACAAATTATGCATATACACTATAATTTTGAAAACCCAAGTTTTTGCACCCCCTGGAATATTGTCTTGCACCCCCAGGGGATGCGAGCACCCCTGGTTGGGAACCCCTGCTCTAAGAGATGTTTTGGCCATAGAATAGGTATGCAATGCGAGAATTTCATCTTCCTCTTCCTTGATCCTTAACACAACCAAATATAAAATTATACATTATATAGCCCTGATCTGCTTCACAAGGAGAGGAAATTATTGGTTAGACTTTAGAGCACTTTTCCATTTTCTGCTTAATCAGTTATTATTCATTCCTGGGAGACTAAAAACTCATAATTTTTTTTCAAAATCAGAAAAATCTACTTATAACTTGTAACAAATCATAGATATGAGAGAGAGAGAGAGAGAGAGATATGGAACATACAGTAAGTTATTAACTGCATACTTTTTAAGTCTACATGCAGTTAATATTTAATGTAATTTTCATTTGTGCTTAGCTGATTTTGATTCAAATTTAGGGACTTTTTTAGATTTAAGAACTGCATAAACAATGCAAAAAATAATCCAGGCTAAAGTAATATTACTTACATCAGGGATCTCCAAACTTGGCAACTTTAGGACTTCAACTCCCAGAATTCCTCAGCCAGCCATTTTGAGTTCACAAGTCTTCAAATTTGCTACATTTGGAGATCTCTGACTTACAGAATTATATTTGGTGTAAGACTGACACCAAAAATATCATTTCCCCAGGCTGGTTCCATATGTGAGTTCACAATTATGTATTTTTCTGCCCTCTTTTGTGTGCATTGGATATTTTAGTGGTACAATCCAATATATAAATTGTTTTCCCAACTGCTAAAATTTATTTTCTTATTAGAACCATATATACTTTTGTAACAGCAGGCCATCACAATCTACGTTCTGTTTGGTTGTTTATTAAATCACTATTCAAATTTCAGTTTTCCAAGATCTAATCATCAATTTGGAAAAAGACCAATACTGTTTGTATAAGAAAGCTTAGTTTCTTCATTTATAATATTCCCCTAACAAATATGAAATTTATTCTTATTTCCCCATGCTATTTTCATTTTAATTCATAATCAGTGTGTGTATTATTTCCATTGTATGTATATTTACTTTTATCATATAGCTAATTCCTTTAAAACTAGACAATCACCTGTCTGAGATGGTATAGGTTCTCCTGCTTGAGCAGGGGGCTAGACTAGAAGACCTCCAAGGTCCCTTCCAGCTCTATTCTATTCTAGTTAGATGTATGATTATGTACCAGGATAGTACTAAAAAGTATTTGGTTAGGAATATATGTTGGCTGTACATTGTATAACTATGAAGAAGAAACATACTACATTTTCTATAGTGCAAAAACAAATGAAAAATGAAAAATTGGATTACCTGGATGCTTCATACAATTCTAAAAAATATGGCTGAGTAATGAAAGTCTTATATGGGAGCATCCTTACTTCTTAATGTGTCCTCATTGGATTTAGTATAAAAATAAAAATGTTTTCTTTATGCCTATTTAAACTAGCAACATTTTACCCATTTCGTTTAAAAAATATAAATTGCCTTTCCATTAAAATCTGTGAAACCTAGATTGCAAAATTGAAAGGTCAAAGCTTCCCTAACTCAAGTTCAGTTTTTGATAACTACATCAATGCTTCCATGTAGTTTTCTTAATAACTTGTTATTAATAAGCCACTGTTTCTTCTACAGTTTTCCTTTTTTTACTTCCTAGTCTACCTTTCCTGGTACTCTGCCTCTAAACAAGCTCCAATCCTATGTAGTTTTTCTGAGCTCAGCTAAAGTGTCTATATTCTGTAACCCATTTAATTCTACTATCAAGCTAATTCCTTTACCAAAGGAAATCCAATTTTATGGAAATTATTTTAATCATTATGGAAATTATATTTTTGACATTATATAGATAATATATTTCTATATAGAAAAGAGTTAGATATTAATAAAGCTCATTTAAATATATACTTCATACCAGATAGAAAATAGACGTGTATAAAGCACCTCCAGTTTATAGCATTAAGTAGAATGTAAGGAAAGCCACAACTGTTTTTAGTATGCAAAGTTCTCTACCATCTTTATTTTCTAGATATTAAAGAAAGATAAACAGTAATTACAGGGAGTGACAAAGAGCTTCACATTTTGCGCTTCTCTCCGGTCACTTTGCCTTTTGTAGGTGAGTTTATTCTTCGCTTACAATCACCTTCTTATGCACTTCTCGGCTCTTCACCCTGAGTTTGTTCACCTGGGACTCAGCAATGTCAGCCCGTTCATCAGCTTCTTCCAGCTCATGCTGAATCTTGCGGAATTTGGAAAGGTTCACGTTGGATTGTTCCTCCTAGAAAAGCATATAATTATTCAAATTTAATCCCCAGTAACATAATTCTGAGAATCTTTTTAAGGGCATAAAATTAATCTGAAATCTCAAACTAGAAGCATATGAAGCATCTCATGAGGTTAAAAAGATGAACATGAATTCCACAAAGGTCTTCATTCATCTGAAGTGCATAACAATAGGATGACATTTTACAAGATTTCATATAAATAAAATGTTATATGCACAAGCAATAGAAAATGTGACTTTTTCAAGACTAACCCTCATTGTTTTATGTGCCATGCATAGCGTGTTTTAATTGTGCAGGGAGAATGTTTTGGACTAGGTCAGGGGTAGGCAACCTTGGCTCTTTTATGACTCGTGGACTTCAACACCCAGAATTCCTGAGCCAGCATGGCTACTCAGGAATTCTGGGAGTTGAAGTCCACGAGTCATAAAAGAGCCAAGGTTGCCTATCCCTGGACTAGGTCCTCCTGTGTACTTACCGCCTCTTCAGCTTGTCTCTTGTATGCTTTCACTTTAAGCTGTAGTTTATCTACCAGATCCTGGAGCCTCAGAACATTCTTCCGGTCTTCTTCAGACTATTTTTTTAAAAAAAGGATATAAAGAATAGAGAGAGTAAATGTGCAAATTATTTACTCCTTTATTCATTTTTCTAAAAGAGTCTGAAATAAATAACAGTTTCCATGCTCACCTGATAAGTTAGTTCCTTTACTCTTCTCTCATATTTCCGTACACCTTTGATAGCGTCTGCACTGCGCTTCTGCTCATTCTCAAACTCAGACTCCAGCTCACGAACCTGACATTAAAAAGAAAATTAAAACATATAATCCTAGCAGTAGAGTTGCCCACTAAATTGTGAAAATGCATGCTCTTTCTCCATAGCATCTTTATAGCGTTAAAGCAGGGTCATCTGCTGACATCCGATGGCCCATGCTTCTCTCAGACAAAGGCATTCCCATCTGGCTTGTGTCCAGGAAGTCTCCCAATGCCCTTTAGAAACTCCTCCCACTGACCCATTGATATGGGATAGCTAACTAGCTAAAACTACATTTCCCATAAGCCATCTCTTAAGGAGACAGCACTTACCCTAATAAATGCCAGATATTCTAACATACAGATACATGCTCTCTAGTTATGGTTACATAGAGTTATACGGTTATACAATCCAGAACATTGGCTATAAGGATTACATGAATGCTGTGTCCATAAAAGTGGCACAAGCATAATAATCCACATAAGAAGGGGAAAAATAGCATGAATCCAGCATGGATACATACAAAGAACTATAACATGGTGAAAATACTGAAACCACACATTTACTCATACTGATGATGTAATCTAGTTGGGAAATGAAATGGCTACAGCAGGGGTCTTCAAACTCGGCCCTTTTATGACTCATGGACTTCAACTCCCAGAATTCCTCAGCCAGGCACGCTGGCTGAGGAATTCTTGGAGTTGCAGTCCATGAGTCATAAAAGGGCCGAGTCTGAAGACCCCTGGTCTACAGTGAAGCAACCCAGCTCAGAAAACACCCAGAACTTCACATAGTGAAAAGAAAAGGGATAGGTTCAGGAAATGGAAGAATGCCAAATTCCCAAAGAACATAAGTCAGGGGTGTCAAACTGCCGGCCCACAGGCCGGATCCGTCATGCTGAAACCGTGCTGAAACCCCATTGCCGGGAATGGAAAAAAAATCGCGATACATCACGACACGTCATGTGACATTGCGAGTTTGACACCCCTGACATAAGTAGTCTAAAGAAACTGTGGCAGAAAGAGTGAAGCTCAGCAGGAGCAAAGGCTGGCCAGCAAGAAATATTAAAAAAAACAGTAAAAAGTTATTTGTGTATATTAGAAACCAAAAGGAAACCCAAAGAGTGATTTGTTGTAAGAGAAAGGGAAATGGATGGTCACCATTATGCCACTGGGGAAAAAAGAGAACAGTAAACCAGAAGTCCTTAAACCAGACAAGGAGAAGATAAGAGAGAAATTAAAGGAGGGCATAAAAGAAAACCATGCTGATTTGATTAATTCAGATCTCTAGGGCAGATAAATGACTTTCTAGGATATTGAAAGAACAAATGGAAGTGATCACAGAACTTCTCACAGTAATTTCCGAAAAAGGAATGGGTGAAGAGATTAAAATGTGAACAAAATTAAACATGATTAAATAATGTGGAGCAAACCTTGGGATATGTAGGGCAGCTGTATACTAGGGAGACTATGTGATTGAAGAGCATATTGTTGCTCTTCGATCTTTCTCTGAATTTTCAGCTAATACTACACACAAAGAAATTAAATCAAAGGTTCACAAATATATGCATGGCAGTTGCTCTTATATGAATCACACAAACCCTAGCTTCCAATTTCTGGATCTGTTTTTTCCCTCCTTTCAGGGCTAGTTGCTCTGCCTCATCAAGACGGTGTTGCAGATCCTTCACAGTCTGGTCCAGGTTCTTCTTCATCCTTTCAAGATGGGCACTGGTGTCTTGTTCCTTCTTCAGTTCTTCCGCCATCATGGCTGCCTAGTAATAAATGAACCAAGCAGTTCAGAATAAAGAATGCTTGATGTAAACCGGTTAATTTTTTCAGTGAAAACTCACTGTACTCACATCAGTGATGGCTTTCTTGGCCTTATCTTCAGCATTGCGTGCCTCCTGAATAGTCTCCTCCATTTCACTCTGAATCTGGGAAATATCTGTTTCCAGCTTCTTCTTGGTGTTGATCAGGCTGGTATTCTGTTTAAAAATAATGTGGTCAGTCATATTTCAGAAAAGACAGAAGCGACAAGCATGCATACATGCAGACAGCGTGCATACACGCAGACAGAGAGACTAAATAGTTGCCACCGAAGAACTGAAATTCCCTGTCCACTTCAGGAAGGGAAGAAAAATAAATGATCACTAGAACTGTTGGTTTGAGAATAATTGTTGCAGAATAGAGGCAACTATAAAGAGGAGTAGAGTTTAGCTCTAATTTCACAGGAAGTCTATAAAGTTTCCAGGGAGTAAATAAACATTAGGATTTGTTTTCTGATTATATATTGGCTTTTCTCCTTTTGCATTAAAACTTCTCACTTAGGATAAGTTCCTAAATAAACACTACCTAGCCATTTGAGATTTATCATAATTGTCCCAAAACAGTTAGAAAACACAAAAATATTTCTACTTTTGCTCAGGGAACTAAGGGCTCTGGAACTAAAATGAACAATAAAAGTCTACCCATCAGGAACAAGGCTCTTGAATTAGAAAAAAAATTCTCAAGCTAAAAACTTATCTACCTGTGTGTGGAGGAGCTGCACACGTTCACTGGCATCCAGAAGCTCCTGTTCAGCCACTTTTCTGGCCCTCTCTGTCTGTTCCAGAGCTGCCCGGAGCTCCTCAATCTCAGCCTGCATCAGGTTTGCTCTGCGCTCAATCATGGCCACTTGTTCCTTCAAATCTTCCTGGCTTCTCAAAGCATCATCCAAATGTATTTGTGTGTCCTAAAACAGGATATTGCAATATTTGTCTTTGAAAATAGCTGTGATACAATAAAAATATCAGCTGTTTCATGAATATAGAAGTAAATATGTACCTTGAGCAGTCCTTGTGTGTTCCGGAGATTCTTTAGTGTTTCAGCAGCTTGACGGTTGGCATGGTTGAGCTGGATCTCCATTTCATTCAGATCTCCCTCCATCTTCTTCTTAAGCCGCAGGGCATCATTCCTGCTCCTAATCTCAGCATCCAGTGTGCTCTGCATGGACTCTACCACTCTCAGGTGATTCCTCTTCAGCTGATCAATTTCTTCATCCTTCTCTGCAATTCTTCTGTCGATGTCAGATTTCACCTGGTTGAGCTCAAGTTGGATGCGCAGGAGTTTGCCCTCTTCGTGTTCCAGTGAGGCCTTAAAAGAAAAAAGACAATAAAGCAAACGTTATGGCACTATCATCTGAAAGGCTATTAAATAGGAATATCCTACTAATGGAAACATTTAGTTCACTGCCTTGGGTACATTTATGTTTGTTTTTTTATTTATCCTGTAAAATAATTACATAATTACCTCAGCTTCTTCTAGAGCACTCTGGATATCTCCTTTCTCTTGCTCAATCTGCTTCTTCACTTTCTCCAATTCATGAATAACTTTTCCGCCCTCAGCAACTTGCTCCGTGAGATCAGAAATCTCCTCTATTAGTTTGACACAAAATACAAAATGAAAAAGTGGGACATCAAAGAGAAATCTTGCTGTTTCAGTAAAGAACAGAGTACAAAATGTTATCCAGCTTTTGACACTAATACAAGTTCTACTGTTCATTTTAATGCCTTACATTTGATGGATTTAAGATATCAGAGAGCCTAAGACAACCCTGAGGAAGCTATTACTATCCACATGATGTTGAACAGCATCCCTCACCATTGCTTATCTTGGCTGGTGGTGCAGGAAGATGCAGTTCAGTAATACCTGGAGGAATATAACTTCCCCATCTTTCATCAAAGTAAATAGGACTAAATGGAAGTGAAGTAGAAACTTCCTACTATAAAATCATGATTAGGCTTGAGTGAGCACATATATGTACATGGACTTACGTTGCAAGTTTTTGTTTTCACGCTTCAGGGTTTCCAGGTGATCCAAGGATTCTTCATACGCATTCTTCATCTTGAAGAGCTCTGTGCTCAGAGACCGAGATTCCTTCTGGGAAGCTTCCAGTTCAGACTGTGTTTCTTCGTATTTTTGTTTCCAGTCTGCCAGAATCTAAAAAACAAAAACAGCAAGAAATAAGTTAGCTAAATTTAAAGCTTGTGTGCAGTGCATTCCACTTTTAAAACAACAGTAATGATAATAGCAACTCAAATTACCTTATCAAAGTTCTTCTGTTTCTTATCTAGAGCTGCACAAGCTGCATTGGACCTTTCCACATCAATCATCAGGTCCTCCACTTCATTCTGCAACCTCTGCTTGGTCTTCTCCAGGGAAGCACATTTGGAATTCACAGCTTCTACATGTTCCTCAGCTTCCTGCAGACGCTGAGCAAGCTTTTTCCTGAAAAAAACATAAACCCAATGCTCCATAGTAGTAAATATTTGATTTGGCTGAATAATCTGTCTAGTGAATCATCTCCTTTCAGTAATTCCGCTTTCGTCTTCAAGAAAATTGGCTTCAACAAAAATTAGGATAAATAGGACTGCAAAATACACAATATTATTTTAGACACTCATCCCAAGTCAAACGATAAAATACGGTTCCGTGAACAATGTTTGATTAATGAACCATTTTTCTCTTTATTATTGTAAATACCTCTCTCTAAAAAGCCACTCATCTAATCCTACTCACACTGCAATTTGATTAGAAAGGTGTAATCTTTTTATCGAGCATACTTAGCCTCCTCCAGTTCCTCAGTCCGCTGAATGGCATCAGTCTCATATTTTGTTCTCCATGTGGCAACTTCACTATTTGCCTTGGACAGGGCACGTTGTAGCTCTGACTTGGCTTCTTGCTCCTCTTCATACTGCTCTCGAAGGAGATCACAGTCATGTCGAGAAGATTGCAAGCCGTGAGCCAGGGCATTCTTGGCCTGTAGAGTTAACCAAATATTAGAGATTCTGCAAATTGCCAAGTGAACAGACATAATTAAGAATCATCTCCCATGGTAAGATTTCACAAGAAATGAGAGCAGAGAGAAAGAAACATATCAAAGTTCAATGAATACACAAGCAAAGGCAAGTGTTGTATTAGGAAAGCTTCTGAAGCACCCCTGGATGTTCTGGTAGCATGAAAGACAATAAAAGATATGATAATTCAGCTTCTGTACCTTTATCTCTTCCTCAAGTTGTCGCTTCAGTTCCTCAATTTGTTGAGTAAAAGCTTGCTTGCTTCTGGAGAGCTGGGAGATCAAAGAGTCTTTTTCTTCCACCTGTCGTGAGAGCTCACCTGAAGCAAGGAATACATGACATGTTTGGAATAAAAGTTGCATTAACATTTTCTCAGCTGGGGAAGCTTCAGGATTCAGCTCAATTCATTTCAAAAATCAATTTGGGTAATCCAATGTAGCAAGACTCTTCACATTAGGGACAAAAAAAATCATTTTCCCCAAATATAATTCATCATTTTACCTGCTTCTGTTTGTAGGCGAGCCCTTTGAGCATTCACGTCATTAATAGTACGCATATGCTCTTCGTCCTTTGTTTTAAATTCACTTAGCTGATCTTCTAGTGTGCGGCACAACTTTTCAAGATTGGCCTAAGCAACATGGATAAAGAAAAAACGGCAACCTTTTAAATGATTCCACAGGACCTAGCATTCATCTTCACTTCTAGATATTACAATGTATGATATTTAGTAAGGACACCTAAAGTGTTTAAGGAAACAGAATAGCCTCCAGAAATAAAGTGGAATAGATGGCACATCTAAATATTGAACTCTAGAGTCAGGATCTAATGTTTGCACACATTCTTATTTTACTAACTCTGAAGTGTCCATGAAATATTGGCAAGAAACACAATTTTAACTTCAATATATAACAAAAAAAAAGCCTAGGTATAAAACCAATATCTTTTCACTTATTTTTTAATGTACTACAGCATACCTTAGCTTTAGAGACAGATTCCATATTGCTTGCAAGATCATCAATCTCCATCTTCAGTTCACTCTTTTCCTTCTCCAGCTTCTGCTTCACTCGCTGCAGGTTATCAATTTGTTCCCCAAGTTCAGCTGCACTGTCTGCGTGCTTCTTGCGGAGGGCAGCAGCCGTGGCTTCATGCTGCAATGTGGCCTCTTCAAGGTCCCGACGCATTTTCTGAAATTCTGCCTCACGTTTCTTGTTCATCTCAATCTGAGCTACAGTTGCTCCACCAGCTTCTTCCAGACGCTCACTGATCTCTTCAAGTTCCCTGGAGAGATCACCCCTCTGTTTCTCTGCCTTGGCGCGAGATGCCCGTTCTGCCTCAATCTCCTCTTCCAGTTCCTCAATACGAGCCTAGAAAAAGAGGGGCAACCATGAACCCTGAAACTGGCATCCAGAGAGCTTAATTCTCCATTCATGAAGGAACCACTTCATGACAAACCTGCAACTCCTTGATTTTCTTCTGAAGCTGGGCGCCCAGGACCTGCTCATCTTCAATCCTGCTCTGGAGCTGATTGATTTCAAAGTCTTTCCTTATCACAACAAAATATAATGGATTAGTCTCCAAATTAAATGTTAAGAGAATTCCTTTTAACACTATGGTCCATCACAATATACATTATTACTTACTTCTTCAGCTTTTCATCCAGCTGCTGCCTATCATTTTCCAAATCCATTGTAGTTTCCTGAGCTAGCTTCAAATCCCCTTCTAGCTTCCTCTTAGCTCTTTCAAGGTCCATGCGAAGCTTCTTTTCTTGTTCCAGAGACCCTTCAAGCTGAACACAAAGAGACCAGAGTGATTGTCCCATCACAGCAATACCTCCACCTCAGCCCAATTCTTCTCTGGAGATGATGGGGTACTTACATCATCCACCTGCTGCTCCAGCTTGGTCTTTGCTTTGGTCAGAGTGTTCACTTTGTCCTCCTCTGCCTGCAGATCATCCAAGGTCTGTTGATGGGCCTCTTGCAGGGCTTTCTTCTCCTTGGTCAGTTTGGCAATGGTCTCATCCAAGACCGCCATCTCTTCGGTAAGGTTTTTCACCTTTAGAAGTTGAACAGACAGGGTTAAGATGCTCTATGTATTCTGAAATGGCAACAGTAGGTAGCGATTTAATTTTGGTATATTTTTGGCCAGTACCTTGTTTTCTGTAGCATGCTTCTCCTTTTCCACCTTGGCCAGTGTCAGCTCAAGATCATCAATGTCTTTCTTCAGTTCTGAGCATTCGTCCTCCAGTTTCCTCTTCTTGGCTGTCAACTCAGCATTCATTTCTTCTTCATCTTCAGCCCGCTCAGTCA